CTGGACGATTTTGGCTTCCAAGCCAATATTTCAAGGATGCTACGTCATCGAGTGCCGCCGAAGGACTGTTCCAATATCCAGCATACTTGGAATTCCCCCGAGGTTTTGGGGGAAATTTCGAGGCTGCACATGGGTAGACTTCGCGTCCTTAAAATCCCCACAATGCTTTGCGCACAGACCAATTTCAAAAACCCTTGCGGAGAATTGCTGAACCGACGCAGCACACATTTAAATGTAATTATAGTGGCGTAGAACATGTGTTGGTAAATATGTTACTTTGTTACATTTGTTTGTTATCATCAAAAATGTGTTCCGTGAAAGTAAAGCAAGTTCATAATTAGATAGACATCGTTAGGTATTTATTTTCGATACAGTTTATGTTGAAACCGTTAGAGAGAGTGGCACACTTGTTAGCCAGTTCCATTCTTCTTCGTTTTCCGAAGCCGTGGCTTGGAAGCATACTTGCTTCGTTTCTGAAGGAAGTGACTTGGAAGTACGCGACTACCAAGCCAGCATCCTCGCGATTGAGAAACACCCACAGTTTGTGCTGTTTATTTTACAAGCAGTGAGGGCTCAAGAGGAGAGGGGAGAGGGGGGGGGGGGTGAACGATCCTGCCTGACGGTTTTCAAAGTAACGTTATGATACATCATGTCTCACAGGAGTGAATAACTTTAGGAAATCGATTAGATAAGTCACATTAGCCGCGTTCACACCGCAGTACTTTTCCCACTTTAGTTCCGATATAGTTCCGAAATGTCGGGTTCACACCAAAAAGAGCCGGAACTAAAATGAGTTAATCAGAACCTTTTTTACCCCCTTTTCCGTCCCTGCTATACCTCATTCACACCAACGGTGTTTCAGGGCCGGTTCGGAGCTGGAGCTTGAAAAGCACCGGGTTTTCCTCTTCACACCGCAGCGGAGCAGCCTCGTAGCTCCGGAATCCGGTTCGTTTCAAGCACCAAAAAATTGTCCGGCCAGAGCAAAAGCACCACATACGTCACGCTTACGTCGAGGCCGGGGCAGAGACAGATCAACTCCTGAACAACAACAAAAAGCCCGCGTTTTATCCAGTTTGTACAACGATGGAGACACTTAACAAGAGTTTCAGTGTTTCTGCCATAGACTGTATATATAAAGGTTTCTGCTCATGGTGAAGCAACGTGTCTACGTGTTAAGGTGGAACCTGAGCATTCACGTTGATCACCTCTCATTATAATTCATTATAAATCTTTAAAACTATAAATATTAAACTTTACTTCACGTGTTCATTTGAGAACAGCTGTTACATAGCTGGGTGAAGGTTACAGTTCATTTAAATGAAAGATACAACGTTACTCCACACTCATGGTTCAGTCCACCTTAAGAAATAAGACCGACCTCGGAAGCAGTTGTGTTTTAAAAAAACCTTTATTGACACGAGTACACTTTTTTATAAGAATATAACTCAACCACAGAAATGACTCCGGAAAAGCTGCAGATAGAGCCATAAGAAATGAATGCAACTGATTTAATCCGCGCGGTTTGGCTTTATGAAGCAGGCACGCAAACGGTTACGTCATGACGCAAACGATGACGCAAACGATGACGCAACGACGCATTACCAGTCGGACTCTGGGCGGTGTGAAAAGAGCCAGAGCTAAACCGAAGAACTGGTTCTGAACCTAAAAAGCTCTAGCACGGAGCTTGAACCGGAGTTGCGTTGGTGTGAATGAGGTACTAGAGAGCAGGGACTTTCGTGGGAGAAAATGGTTCCTATGTCTGATTGGCTGGGCGGAATGCAAACCACGCCCCGTAAAACTCCAAGAAAGTTTTGTGAAGCCGCCATTTTATTATCCTCGCATTAGCATTATTAGCATTAGCCCAGCGCAGAAACGCAGAGAGACTAACTTATGGCAACACAAAATAAAACATGGGAGCGGTGGAGATGAGGAGGTGTCGGCGTTCTGGTGATTTACTCGGAAGGCTTCAGTAGAAGCTGCTGGGAGTCCCAGCAACTTCTACTGAAGCCAGTCCCCAACTCCGGGGACTTCCGGCCGGGGACTCCGGGTGGCAGTATACGCCGTGAAGTGGTTTGCGGCCTGCCAGTAAACCCAAAGCAGAAGAAGAAGAAGTGACGTCAGCGGCTTCATTTGCCTAATGCTCCCTCAGGGAACTTATTCCGGTGTGAACGCGATCTGTACTTAGTTCATGAGAACTAAAGAGTTCTCATGAACCTCTGTGGGAAAAGTACTGCGGTGTGAATGCGCCTAAAGAATGAGATAAAGGTTGGGGATGTAAAAACATGCATAAGTTGTTAGAAGTAATCATGGTGAATGTAGTTTTCAGATAATTTACTTCAGTAAAAGTACTAGTGCTACACTATACAAACACTACAAAAGCCCTGCATTTAAACCTGTTATTGTTACTTTAGTAAAAGTATGCTAGTATAATCAGGAAAGTGAAAGTTATACTATTATATTATATCATTTATTTTTGTATTATTATTATTATTACCCATGCATTAAAGGTGAGGTATGTAATTTATTTCAGAAAACACTTTTTGTTATATTCCATGGAATGCTCTTAACATCCCGATAGCAATGAATATATTAAAGGCTTTGACAATAAATACATGGCTGTGGAAGCCGTAGCGCTGTAAAAAGCACGACCAATCATTTTAGCAGGCGGCCATGTGCTTGCTTGGAGTCCTTATCGCAGCAGACCGGGGGTCTGATTCCGACCCATGGACCTTTGCTCTGTCATTCCCTCTCTCTCCTCTTTCCAGTCTGTCTCTCTGAAATAAAAGGAAAGACTCAACAACAAAACAAATCTAAATTTGACCACCGTTGTGTTGCTGCACTTCTGTGTGTGTGTGTGTGTGTGTGTGTGTGTGTGTGTGTGTGTGTGTGTGTGTGTGTGTGTGTGTGTGTGTGTGTGTGTGTGTGTGTGTGTGTGTGTGTGTGTGTGTGTGTGTGTGTGTGTGTGTGTCACTTTTCATAAGATTAATATTTAAATATGTGTCATATTGTATTTATTAATGTGTGGTGGAAGTCATAGTTTTACTCGGTGAACATGCCTTCTGCTTTCATGTCTACTATCTCTCTTTAGCACATCCTCCATCTCCCTCCTCTCCTTCATCTCCTCTCCTTCATCCCTCCTCTCCTTCATCCCTCCTCTCCTTCCTGTTTGAAGTAGGCGGGTCTCAGCAGACAGACTGAGGAGCGCTCAGTGAAGTTAAGAGAGAGGGGGGGGGAGTTCCTCTCGCTCCAGAGGGCTTTGCTCACATTAGAGTGAGAGGAGGCGATGTTTTCACATGGGCATGGCGTTTAATGGATACAGGGCCATTCCAAACACAAGTCAGCTGATTTTCCTCTGTATCATCCACTTGCCCTTTAGTTCAACTAAATTGATTTATTATTATTTCTTAGAACTCCTTATGTATGTGTTCTGAGTCATTTTAAGGAAAAAATGTGTCTTAAAAAACAGGATTATTTCAGACATTACAATAGAATGTATAGATTACAATGGATTTTAAAATGTGAAATTGTAATACTGAGCAGCATCTTTCAGATCTCTCGTTGTTTCACACACTGTAGGAAGAGTCACTGTCCAGCAGTGTGAACAGCCACACATAATTCTTTACGAAGAAATGTCACATATATTAACTGCTCTAAAAAAGTACACATCAGTCATCTCCCTTGCTAAAAATAAATGTAGCATATGTATGCCAATCATAACACATGTGTTAGATCAGCATCTTGTCCTGCTCTGTATATATCCCTTCACTTAAATAAGAAAGTGAGGGATAAAGAAATGAGTTTATTTACTTTAGATTTGAAATAAAGGTTGTCTTTTGTTGGTGTGCCTCTCAGCTCAGTTTGTTGTTTTGTAGTGTTTTCTGGACTCACTAGAGGACATGTCATGTTGTCAGGAAGAGCTGCAGGCCACTTCTTATTCACTGGACAGGTCCCACTGTGGTGCTATCTCTATCTTCCCATAAACCCACACCACACTCAAACACAATTATTATTGAGAATATTTATATAAAATGATGTAAAAACAATAAAGACGCATTGCATCTTGCCAGAAGGTCCACATGTGAAATAATAAGAAACTACTGTTAGTAGTGGCATTGACCTCCAATAATCCCTATGTGCATGTTTGTATTTATGTACTTATTTGTGTTGGTTCCCAACCTTTTTTCCCAAGAGGGGGGGGGAGCAACAGCGATAATTAAAGTTTAAAAGTCTCAAAAGCTACAACTACTGTCACAAACTGGATGAATGTGAAGTATTTTGTTAAAGGAGGATGAAAGCGTAATCAAGGAGCACTATTGGAGTGACTTTGATGGTTATTGGACTCAGGATTCATTTATTTGGATTCCTGCTGTATGAAGAAATTAAAGGATGCCGCAAGTGGAAACAATTCACAAAGGGATTCAACTGTTTAAAACACATGCTCAAAGTAAGCTGGATTTTGCCGATGTGTTTATGTGGATTCAAAAGTCGTAAATAATCTACAAAATGGAGGAGACCGATCTGATCGGAGCAACTGACAAATAATCCAATTGAAACCGGCATGGACAATGACTATGTTTTAAAAATGCGCTTATCCAGAAAAGCCTGGTTTGGACACTTTACGGGCAGAAGAAACATTTATATTAAAGAAAGAATTATACATTTCTGTCTTTTTATCCCTTTAATACTAACTTGAATTTTTATTCAAATTAATTAGTCAATTATTTTTTATATTTTATTGTAATGTAGAGAAGAGGCTTTTAGTGACAATCATGTATTGCCTTACAATTATATGTAAAAAAAAAAAAGTCTAAATATGATATTTGGCCTCAAATCATCTGAGGCCTGGCGCCCCCCCTGCGATCTTTGGCTCCCCCCCAAGGGGGGCACGCCCCCCAGGTTGGGAACCACTGCTATAGGGTTTGGAGTATTTCTATTTATACATCTTAATAGAAAAGTAGTCGTAATACATTTTATCCTAAATGTGTGTGTGCGTGTTATAGATCTATCGACGCTGCTGGCTGGTGTTCAAGAAGTCATCGAGCAAAGGACCTCGTCGTCTGGAGAAATACCCTGATGAGAAGTCTGCCTACATCAGAGCCTTCCCCAAGGTGTGTGTGTGTGTGCGCGTGCGTGTGTGTGTGTGTACGTGCCTGTGTGTTGACAGAGTTGACAGGCACAGTGAAATGAAGGAAAGCCGAGTTGTAGAGTGGCGTTGCTCTATCTTATTATTTGAATCTGTAGGCAGTTTGACAGAAGGTTTCTCTTTCTTACACATTAAAGTGTTATTCCATAAAAAACAATCAAGTGGCTAATCCTTGGAAGTGCTCCGACTGAAAGTCACCTCACATCATCAATGAATAGAGTTCTATTCGAGGAATCAAAACATATTTTGATCATTACCGTTCTCTATATCCAGACAGTAGTGCACAGACAGATCATCTGAATAAAAATACTACCTCTGCCCCCCCAGTACTCCTATTCCACTTTATGGAAAACAACCAATCACAGCAGAGGACTGTAGTGCAGTGTACACTGCTCAAGAACTCCGATCAAACTATCAAACTAAGCAGCGCTGATCATAAATAAAGACACCTCTGTCCCTGCCTGCCTGTTTGCTCTGGCAGAGGGAGAGTGCTTGGTCGGCACCCAGACACACTGATCAGCTTTCCTTCGGCTGCATGGAATCTTCCAGATGCTTATAGATTTCTCATTCACAAGTGTCAGGATATAGTAATATATCAACAATGATCAACTGTTTAAAAAATAAATTGAATTACCAACTCTTGCTTTATTTAAACTCTATTCCTCACCATTTTACACATCAAGCCATGTTAATAAATGTGGTGTAATGATACATGTACAATTATCTTTAGGTGTCAGTGACTCCTCTCCACCCCTGTACTGTATGAGTCACCATTTCATCCTAAACATAGATATCCAATTTTAAGGCTATTTAACTGAGGTGTCTTCACATTAATTAAACAATAACAATAAGTCTTGATAACCACTTTAACGACTTTGCTTTCCACCTGTTACCTAGGTGACAGAGATAAGCAATGTCAAGAATATCACAAGGTTGCCTCGAGATACCAAGAGACAGGCAGTGGCCATTGTGTTCACAGACGACACCTCTCGCACCTTTACCTGTGAATCAGGTAATACACACACACACACACACACACACACACACACACACACACACACACACACACACACACACACACACACACACACACACACACACACACACACACACACACACACACACACACACACACACACACACACACAGCTCTGTGCTGTCAGGGATGGACCCCAAACTCACCCTCAACATTCACCTCACAAAACATTATTAGTCTTTTAGTCCCTTTTGGTGTTTGTATCTGTACCATTTCACACATCATGTGTGTGACACGGATACAAACACAGTGTATTCTTACTGTCGATGCACTCATTGCTGTCATTAGAATTAGTTTTATTCGACTTATATTAAACTTTAAATGCAGATGTACTGTGACTCAGTCTCTGCTGCGATGGACACAGTTTGATTCCGACCAGGACCATTTACGCATCTTATCCCCTGTGTATGTGAAGCTGTCTCTATTACAAGAGACTGGTGGCTCAAAAATCCTTAGCCTGTTATTCAGTAGTTACTATGTACTTCACTGTAACTATTCACAGTGCTTTAGCATGCTCAGTCCACCTGATTGTTGTTCACCAAGAAATTCCAACATCAAGGATACACTTTCATAATCCTAATGACAATTCTATCCAAAAGGCAGTAGGTTGTTGATATTATTATTATGTAGATATGTGTTCCTCCTTAGCCCAGTGTTGTGCTGTGAGCTGCACCTGACGTGTGCAGCAGTAACTGTTTCACATAGTCCAAACACCCGGCCAGACAGAGGTAGAAGAGGCCTTCATTTCACCATCTGACCCTGTCTCAAATTCAACTCGCTTTATTCCATTAATAATAATGACACATAGTTTTTCCAAATCATTGAACCATTAATGACATGTTCAGCTTAGAACTATATACATCTCTCCCTCCCTCTCTCTCTGTCTCCCCCTCCCTACCCCTCTCTCCCCCTGCAGAGCTGGAAGCAGAGGACTGGTTTAAGACCCTGTCTATAGAGTGTCTGGGCACCCGTCTGAATGACATCAGTCTGGGGGAGCCTGACCTCCTGGCAGCTGGAGTGCAGTGTGAACACACAGGTGAAGGCAGAGTAACATCTGTCTGTGCTGTTGAACCTTCTGCTAGCTGTACTGCATACAGTGGTTCAGACTTCACCTCCTCGTTCCATGGGTGGCAGGCCAAATGAAGCATGGTGTCTAGAGGAGAGATCTGTTGAGTGGCATTAGCAGAGAAAGGACAGCAGTGTACCTGGTCCTTCATTTCTGTATTTGAACATATCATTTTACTCTAAAAATGTATCAGTTTTTAACAAATGAATATCTGATTTGTTAAATATCAGACAGAAAGGTTCTTCCGCCCCTTAAGGTGCTAATCAATACGTTATGTTTGCTACAAGTAAATGGTACATGGATCTCTAAACAGAGATGCAAACATAACATGAATACACAGTCATAACAATGATCATAAACTTTAATTTTAAACTTTAATATCGGACCTTGGTAACAAAGTGTTTCAGAGTAGACATCTAATAACATCTGAATACAATTAAATGATAATTGTCCGACTAGAATGACAAATAACGTTAGTTAAGCTATTCTGTCAGCCAAGAAATCGCTTAATCATAAATTTTTCATTTTCAGGGGGGCCACAGGGGGGTCCAAAGTCAGTGTTAGGGGGGCACTGGCCCCATTGGGCCCCCCCCCCCTAGAACCGCCCCTGGTGCGCGCAGAGCACACTCTATAGTTTATATACGTAGTATATACACATTCTCCTGGTGAGACCTCAAATAATCTTCGTAATATCTATCAAAATATAGATCCTACACATCCACTGGACGTAGGTTCTGAAAGTAAAATATACACTTCTTGCTAGAAATGTAATACAAAGTGTTTTAATGGCCATACGATCGTGTCCACGATCACGTGACATGGGCACTGGCCATTAGAAATGTATAGGAAAACATTAATTAGCCATGTCACAATTTGAGAGGGATTTTTGATGACATACTATGTGTTGCCCTGTGGACCAACGTAGCTATCACACATTCTTTTGTGAGACTTGGTTGCCATAACACATCACCTTTTACATATTGACATATGATCACTATATACATTTGTTGAACATGTTAGCAGTCATTTGCCTACTTCCAGCAAACAGAACAACAGTCATCCACCTGAGTGTGTGTGTGTGCCTGATGAATGTTCACTCTCTGGTCTCTGGCTCTTCAGCTGCTAAAGGTTCCACCATGTTCATCATCATACATATGTTGTGCTTGTCAGGTTGTGTATAATGGATTTGTAAGTAAGCCTATAAAGTAATATGAAATGTAAAGTACAATAACCTACAATACAATTTGACAGTACTTTAGTAAATGTTACGACTACTTTCCAACACTGACCATATTGTGTCCCGTGTTTAAATCACCTTAGCGCTTTGCTTGGTTCCGTGTCCTCTTCTCTTTTTCAGAATGTATAGTCCTCTATAATTAAGGCTATATAATCTTTAAGAGCTGGAGTAATGCCAGCGGACCTCAGTCCCTGACGGTCCTATCATTCTCTGGTCTCCTCAGAGCGCTTCAACGTGTTCCTCCTCCCCTGCCCCAACCTGGACATCTATGGGGAGTGCATGATGCAGATCACCCACGAGAACATCTACCTGTGGGACATCCACAACCCCCGCACCAAGCTGGTCACCTGGCCGCTGTGCTCGCTGCGGCGCTATGGCCGCGACGCCACGCGCTTCACCTTTGAGGCTGGAAGGTAAGACTGGGATGAGATGGCGGGGGGGTCAGATCAATCTCCTTCCCCAGATCAATGCAGAATACATACATCATGGCCCCCCACACTTTCAGAGTCAGGGACAACACCTCCTTTGTTATAACATGTGTATACGTATACAGTGTGTGTTTATGCTGCTTTATCGGACCTCACAACTAAAGTATGTGCATGTGCAGCTGTCAGTCAGCTGACGGTCAATCAAAGGATACCTCTCTCTTTCTCTTTCTCTCTCTCTCTCTCTGATTGATTGTCTAGATGAGACAATTAATCAGTGCGGGTCAGACCTCCTTATCTTCTCCGCTCTGATAAAACCTGATGAGCTATGATTGGGGTGAGTGAGTGAGTGAGTGTGTGTGTGTGTGTGTGTGTGTGTGTGTGTGTGTGTGTGCGAGCATGCGCGTGTGTGTGCATGTCGTCTAAAACAAACCAGAGCAGCAGTAGAGCCCTCTGTCTGTGTGTGTGTGTGTGTGTGTGTGTGTGTGTGTGTGTGTGTGTGTATGTGTGTGGTGTGTGTGTGTGTGTGTGTGTGTGTGTGTGTGTGTGTGTGTGTGTGTGTGTGTGTGTGTGTGTGTGTGTGTGTGTGTGTTACTGCTTCACTCCCAAATAGTGTGTCTCTTAAATGTAGCTCTGCTTTACAGGCTTTTTACTTTTTATTAAGCTATCATTTATTGTTATTATATATATTTACTGACTTTTGAAAACAAACTGAGTTGCTGTCATGTGCAGGATGTGTGACAGCGGGGAAGGCCTCTACACCTTCCAGACCAGAGAGGGGGAGCAGATCTACCAGAGGGTCCACTCCTCTACACTGACTATAGCTGAGCAGCACAAGAAGGTCCTGCTGGAAATAGAGAAAAACAGCAGGGTGAGACACACACACACACACCACACACACACACACACACACACACACACAACACCCACACACACACACACACCACACACACAACACACACACACACACACACACACATTCACACACAACACACACACACACACACACACACACACACACACACACACACACACACACACCACACCCACACACACACACCACACACACACACACAACACCACCACACCACACATTCACACACACACACACACACAACACACACATTCACAACCACACACACACCACACACACAACCACAGTCACACACATTCACACACACACCCACACACACCCACACACACACACCACACACACCCACACCACCACACACACACACACACAGCACACACACACTCAGCACACACACACACACATTCCAACACACACACACACACACACACACACAACACACCATGCACACACACAGACACACACACACACACACACACACACACACACACACACACCACCACACACACACACATCACACCACACCCACACACACACACACACACACCCACAACCACAAATCAGAGTTAATGTTAAATATGTTTATGTTGCATTGTTGAAGGAGCCTGTGACTTGAGTTTGTCATTGCATATCTACACTCTAGCTGTGCATAACATAATAAAGCCATTTAAACAGAGGTGGAACAAGTACTTAGATCTTGTACTTAATTCAAAGTAGATGTACCAGAGTGTATGTCATGTCTCGAAAGATTATTGTTAAGTTGTATTCTTTAAATTAGCTTTGTCATGTCCCTTTGTCTTGTGCCTCCCTGTTTGTATTTTTGAAAAGTCATTCTCCCTCTCGTTTCAGGTCACTGTGCTCCCCGCCCCTTTGTGTCTCCTGCGTTTGTGATTGTTTACCCCGCCCTGATTGTTTCCACCTGTGCCCCTTACCTCATGTGTATATATTGTCTTAGTCTCCACCTGTCCTGTGCCAGTTTGTCTCTTCTCATGACTCGAATTACCAGCGTACCCTCAAGCCTGTGCCATGTTTGTTATCTGCGTTCCAAAGCTCCATATGGAAGTATTTTAGTTGTTCCTCGAAAGAGTGATTTTTTTGTACTCTGTTTTGTTACTGTGAAATTACCCAGTAAAGTACTTTATTTTTGCAACCCTCTGAGTCTGAGTTGTGCATTTGGGTTCATGCCCCTGAGTTCACCCCTTGACAGTGGAGGAATACTCTGTTACAGTAAAAGTCCTGCAAAGTAAAGTGAAGTAAAAGTAGTCATTGTTTGATTGGTCCATTTCAGAATAATATATATGATATGTTTTATAATGATTGATCATGAAAGTGTTCTCAAAGCTGGTAAAGGTGCAGCTAGTTTGAATGGCTTTGTATACTGCAGGGTAGCTGGTGGATTTACTCCAGGTGGAACTAAAGTCTGATTTAACACTTGATTATATTTCACATCATTCATCCACATCTGTGAAGTAACTAAAGGTATTAAATACATGTAGTGGAGTAGAAGTACACCATGTACCTCTGAACTGTAGAGGAGTAGAAGTACAAAGTAGCATCAAATGAAGATAGTCCAGCTGAGTACAAGTCCCTTAACGATTGTACTAAAGTAAAGTCCCTGAGTAAGGCACGTCAAGTTCAAGGCAATTCAAAGTGCTTTACAAAAATGAAAGACATTAAAAGCATTAAGAAATAGTGCAGCGGAAACACATTATAAAAGGGCATTTTTAAAAACTGTCATTAAAAAGCAAAGATAATAAATTAAACATAATAACACAGGTATAAAAGACATGGATAAAAGTTACAGTGCAGTCTAAGATATGAATAGTTCAATTAAAAGCAAAGAAAGAAAAGTCTTCAGCCTGGATTTAAAAGTAGTCAGAGTTGCAGCGGACCTGCAGGTTTCTGGGAGTTTGTTCCAGATATTTGGAGCATAATAACTGAACACCGAGTAAATCTACTTAGTTACTTTGCCCCACTTTCTTTAAATATATAACTCTAAATAAATGCTAATGTTGCTCTGTATCTTAGGTATTAAAAAACAACAACTGTTTGCTAATAACATTTCTTCTTTAATAGGAGATGCTATTAAGTGTTAGTTTGCTTGCTGCCCCCAAGTGGCAAAAAAGAAGAAGCTCCGAAGGTCCATAACAGGTTACAGCAGCTTTAGTCAGAAGGATTACATTACAAATAGTGAGTACATGTTTTAAACTAATTGTTCATGAGCATATTAAGTTCCTCAGTAGTGCAGAGTCAAAGGTAAAACACATTTCCCAGTATAATAACACAGTGCCATGTTGCTGATGTGTTCATCTTGGTCATGACATGACATTTCCATGCCGTTCCACCTGGAGTTCAGCCCCATCCATCCAGCTTTCTTATACTAGCAAAACACATTATGAAGCTTACTGTGAATATCCTTCAGTAGCGCAGTGAAACAAAATTCATACTAATATTTTGTCGATATTCTGCTACTTGAATAGAAATAACTAATCTACAGTCCAGTTTCTTCAATGTGTGTGTTTATGCCTCTCAGTTGCTGTCTGTGGGTTCAGAGCCGGGCTCCTACCCCTGCACCCCCACAGCCATCCTGCCCCGCTCCGTCTACTGGCACCACATCACTGGAAACCAGGCAGGCATGGATCCTTGCAGCGGTACGCCACACACAGGCCTTCACTAATGTTTTTTATTGATTCTTTTCTTAAATAGACATTTGATTGTATACTTTGCATACTTCTTGTAAGTGCAAAAGCATGACAGCTTTTCTATTTGTTGTACCTTTACCTAATGTCGTGCCTTCCAACACACCCGCTGGCCCCATTAGGCTGGAGTAGAGGGGTTTCTTACTAAAACATAGTTGTATAAAGTAGTAAAGATATTTTGCAAATGAATGCGCATGTTTAAAATTAGCATGACGTAATCTGGGAACCTTTAGAAACTTCTGGAGCTAAGGCCACTTTCATTGGAACTAGTTGGCAACACGAAATGTTGTTTTCCACGGTTTTGTGGCGTAATCAAGCCTTCATTTTCTCAGGAGAAGGTGACACAGATTCAGACAAAACTGCACAGTGAAATCAGGTTTCATAGGAATCAATCTAAAAGCTACATCAACATTTATATGGAGGTTATTCCCTATCTTTATTCAAGAGCGTGTTCTTTCAATTTGAGAGAATCATTTATTGATTTCAGGTTCAGATTTTGTATTTCTTTCAGTCAAACCCTGTCCTTGCGCTTAGATTTGTCTCTGCTTCTGCTCAAACTGTACGCTTGCACTCAGATATATTGCTGCTTGCACACATTTTCTGTGCAAAAACCAAAATCCCTCAACCAATAGGAGGCCAGGTGAAGTGTCGTCTCCTTGCTGGCGTGTTCGCTTTATATATTAGAACATCCCGTAAGGGTGGTTACTCTTTAACCAGGTTTATAAAACGGACAAGTCAAATCAAGCAATCTGATTGGTTCTTAGCTTGATATAATGAGCGTATACCACGGGTATAATTGTAGTTACTTTTCACAACAAGTCAGTATCCCTCCGCCTCTGAGAAAAGCTACAACCGTTACAACTGTTACAGTACGTCCATTACGAAACGAACTAACTAACAAAGCTTAAGATGGAAACATGTAAGGGATAATAGCCGCATTCACACCAAGTACTTTGCCGTACTTAGTTCCCAGCTCTTAGTTCCCCTATGGAACTAAGGGCCGATCGCGTTCACACCGGAGTACTTTTTCCTTAGGGAAGATTACGCAAATGAGCCGCTGACATCACTTCTTCTTCTTCTGCTTTGGGTTTACTGGCAGGCCGCAAACAACTTCACGGCGTATACTGCCACCCGAAGTCCCCGGAGTTGGGGACTGGCCAGCAGCTTCTACTGAAGCCTTCCGAGTAAATCGCCAGAACGCCGACACCTCCTCATCTCCACCGCTCCCATGTTTTCTTTTGTGTTGCCATAAGTTAGTCTCTTTGCGTTTGTGCGCTGGACGAATGCTAATAATGCTAATAATGCTAATGCGAGGATAATAAAATGGCGGCTCTACAAAACATTTCAGAGTTTTACGGGGCGTGGTTTGCAATTCGCCAAGCCAATCAGAACTGGGGCACTTTTTTCCCCCAGGAGAGTACCACCTCTCAGCAGGCACTAAAAATGGGGGTTAAAGTTCCCGGCACTAAGTACTCTTTTTGGTGTGAACGCGACATAAGGGGTACTAACGGAACTAAACGGGAAAAGTACGGGGGAAAATACCCTGGTGTGAACGCGCCTAATGTGCGGCAAAGACTTATTGACCGTTGTTAAGGACGCTCACATCTGCAGAAAGAAGTCCGGTTGATTTAACTGTAGACAGTTGGGCTGAAAAGCAAACTGCATGCAGAAAACTGATAAGAAAACTGGGACAAGAAAACAGAGGAGAAGTAACGGGGCAGAAACCCTCCTTTTTACGCAACGGTCCAGACATAGACATCAGACGGCAAAACATATTCAGTTGCCAGTTACTTTGGCATTAGGGCAGGGATAGATACTTTCCAAGGTTAATATATCTGAGTGCAAGCGTACAGTTTGAGCAGAAGCAGAGCAAATCTAAGCGCAAGAACAGGGTTTGACTGAAAGAAATACAAAATCTGAACCTGAAATCAATAAATGATGCTCTCAAATTGAAAGAACACGCTGTTGAATAAAGATAGGGAATAACCTCTATACATTTACTGCATATTGATAAATTAAAGCAAAAAGCTCATCTCATATTCAGTGTTAAATAACACTTCTACAGTTTTTGATGGAGTTTCTTCCTAAAGTTGGGAATGTCAAGTGAGAAGTAAAGAACTGGAGTCCGGACATGTTTGGCTTAGCAAACACACTGTAGGCAGGGAGAACAGGCTGATTCTGTCCAAAGTGAGAACACACACGTACACCTGTGTGTGTGCCTGGAGCTGCAGTCACAGCTGTGTTTCCGCTCTGTCTCCAGGAGATGCTTCAGAGGACGACCTGCTGTCCTCCTGCCTGCCCCCCGACCGCCATGCCACGCTGCCGCTGGCCAACACACATGCACAGTCACAGCCACACATACACACACACTCCCCGGCACACTACCCCACCTACCCTGGACAGTGACACACACAGGAAGATGTGGACATTCCAAATGATGCAGACACGATACATATACCTACATGCATGCAGGCGCACACTGTTCCTCCTTGTATTAGTTTTATAGTCGGTCTCACCTCACAGGAGAGGTTTCTGTGGGACTAACACTAGCTAACAGACAATGCTGAAAGCAGCGAGTACTTGAGAATACTGAGCTTCCTGACATGACCGCAGTTCCCACAATTCCACAGTACACCAGGGATGTTTTTTCCACCTCCAGGATGAGAAACTCTAAATGAAGGACTGAGGGCCCTAAGTATGATTTAAACAACTTAGGTTTTATTATATATTGCCTAACCAGGTTTAATTGTTTCCAAAGTCACCCATAAATGCGGGGGAAAGTCTTGAAGAGCAATTAGCAGGATCTGTTACTGAATTTATACTACATGTTTTTGCTCAAATTATTTCTCTCTCTCTCGCAAAAACTGGTCCCTCACCAAGACACCTGCCACCTGTAGTGTATAAAAAGAAATGGGAATTTTTGTAAAGGAAATGCTCAATTTAAATCAAAGTAATCATCACATATTTATAACTTATTAATATTGGATCACTAACACACTAAAGTTTGGAGAATTTGCGTCAGTTACTATGAGTGAAGCCTAGTGCAACACAAAGAACGACTTTGAGGAAAACTCTAAAGTGTGCATCAACTCTATAGTTTGTATAATCGACAGCGTCGAGACTTCAGGGAGGGGGTTTTCACCCCGCCCCCGCGTGTGGCCATGTGGAACAGATATGTATACTTATTTGATGACACATCACAGATCATTTTAGGCATATTAAAGCTTTTACAAACAAAGCCACAGTAACTTGTTACCAAGCTATATGGATAGATTTTAGAGAGGAACCTGAAATTCCAACGTTTTTGATATGGTGCGTATACAGTAAAGTAGACATACTGTTATCTGATGTTGTAGCATGAGTTTCTCATCCCAGGAGTGACACATTTACCAAATGGCTGCCATGGGGTTAACGTCAATAGGGCCTGGTTGTGTTACATTGAATACTACGTGGGACGGGATTGCATGGTGCCTTAATAGCACCACATGGACTGTGCTATCCTTGGAAATACATTGACATTCCCTTATGGAAAGTTCCCAGTGTGCCAGCTGACATGTGGTCTGAAGAACTCTTGATTATTTCACTGTCCACGTCTGGATCAATACCTCTGAATTTGCTGATAACTGATGTTACTTTACAGTTCCTGGATATGTTTTGCTTTGCTGAGGTTCTGAACCTTGGAATGAAACTGTGATTGATTGGCGCCTGTTCTCAACTGGATATTCAATTTTAGAGCTTCAGATTTTCACTGGGGTGTGTCCCAGTACTTGCTTCTATTGAGCTATATTTGCACAACCCTTTTTTTATTATGTTATTCAAGGGTTAAGAGTGCAAGAGGAACTAACATTGTCGAGGTCAACGGATTGGGATTTTGGAAAGCCCATACTGATGATACATTTGGATTGGACCTGCCAATAACTGATATTCAGTAACTTATGATCCCGTGAATGACAGATCAGAAATGTTTGTATGTATTTATTACTAGAGCTACAAAACACTAAACACTGAAATGGAAAACTGAACCGTGTTCAAACATTTGCGTTCACAGAATCTCTGAAGGGCAAGTGCGGAAATGATACAGGTGCAACACCAGAGCACAACTTGAAAAGAGTTTGCCTAAATGATATGTGACACAGTGTCAAAATAGAAGCATTGAATTGGGCTACAAACACATCATGGTTAGATTACATTTTATTTTTCTTTCTCCCAAAAGTCACACCAGAGAAGCTCGCGAGCATTTGACAGAAATATCTGAACCACCCTGAAGGGTACATGGACCATTCAAGCACCCTATGATGTGACAACAGGGAGACAATGGAAGCTGATTTGCTAGTCTAGGAGACTGATGGTCTTATGGGATGATTCTACTCTCTAAGACCTTGGATCTCATTTACATTTTTGCAAACCCTTTATATCATAAACATTTTCTGACCAAGTTGATATTAAGAGAACTACGAACACAACCACATTGCTCTTAAGAATGTTAAACAAGAAACTCGAGATGACAGATGGTCAGGAGGGCCAAACAACCCCCCAGGTTAAAAAATGAAGAAGCACAGTAAAGGTTTTACCTAAAGTGATCTTGACTTAACAAACCTGACTGAAATTGATCTGAACCTATTTGACTGTTTCAGTGGTGATCTTTCATGAGTGTCGTATTTTAACACCCATTGCAGAGTGAACATCCAATCATAAGTGGAGAGAACTGGTACAGGTGTTAATGCACCCATGATGCATTGAGATCATAGCTTCAGGTCCTGGGTTGGGATGGATCTCATGTTTGATAAGCAGTATGGAACCAGGTCTCAGCTTTAGGCCCCAGCCCTACTACAGTTGTGTGCACACAGTTTTTGTCTTTAATAAGGAATTAAACGCAACAATCAGGTGGCCGTATTTTCGGTTCCAAACCATGTGGTTGGGATAAGTGTTGTCTTGTAAAAACACAAGTGTAAACACACAAGTGTAAACACCTGGGTGATCCTATAAATCAGTGGTTCTCAAACATTTTCTGTCAGGCCCCCCTTTTGGAAAAAAAAATCACTTTGCTAGAACAGTGATAATAAAACAATGCTCCATAAGTTTGTGTGCTCAAAAAAACAAAACATAATACAATTGTGCAATCCCTTTGCAAGAACAATAAGTTATAATACTTTGCCACTTTGCAATCTGTGCAAACAAATGAAAAGAAAGAAAATGCTGATATTTGGTAAAAAAGTGTGTCTTCTTATCACAGCATTAGTGGCTGCAATGAGCCTGTTTGGCACTGCACATTTCTTCAAAAACAGGGTTGCAGGCTCAGTGGCGGCGCCAGAGGTTTCTTTTGGGGGTGCTGTGGGGTAGCTTGACGTTTCATAAAGGGTGCTCAAACATTTAGGGTTTCCCATTAATGTACCGGTCGTTACAGTGGAATTTTCTACTGCAACACTCCCCACGCATATACACAACGTACCCGCGACTGTTACAATGAAGGCTCGATAATCAGCTCACGGCATAGGTGTAAGCAGGGGTAGAGTGCTATTTTTACAAGTGGATGGTGGACCTAACCTCCTCTAGGGGGGTCCGGGGGCATGCTCCCCCGGGAAGATTTTTTTTAAATATTGAAGTTAAACGCATCAATCTGGTGCACTTTGAGAGCAACATGAAGAGATCTATGGATACCTCTCTCAACACCCATATGAAACAGAACTGTGAACAGATTTACTTTTTCATTATGGATATTTTACAAATCACTCCCCTTTCAAACTGTATTCTTGTTTTACTGTCATATAGTATTTCATACCTGTTTTTCATTTATTCTCTTGTTTTTTTATAACTATAATGATCATACAGTATGAAGGTGTGCCTCGGAAATAATTGTTTTCATTAATGGTGACCAAACCGTTTGAGAACCACTGAGGTAACTTAGACTAAAGTTAACTATCTAAACACTGAGAGTCCTTTAGCTCACTGAGCCTCTCAGTCTGACAGGAGAGGACTCTCCTCCACTTTGTTGTTGAAAAAACTCCTTATACCCATTAGCGTAGCTTGCTAGCACCAGAAGCTAACAACAACGTCTCCGGTACCGGTGCGCTCTCTCTCTCGCTCACGCACGCACACACACACACAACATGGCTCGTTCCACACACACACAGCCGAGCTTGAATGAAACAGAGACCCAGACGTACTTGTACTGTACTGTAGCATATTATTTTTGAATAAATAATAATAATATTTTTTTTTTTTTTTTGTCATAACAATTTTTACTCCTGGTCTCTTGCTGTCATGCCTCTGCACCCCCCACTTTGAGAAACACTGCTCTAAATTGAAGGTGTTGCCAGGTTCCCACGTCTCATGAATGATTTTAGTCAAGTCAAATTTGAAAACTTACATTTTAAACATTCCCAAAAGTATGAAATTAAGAGCCAAATGTTAATAAACCTGCATTTTTCTTCAATAATGTCATCGTTCACAAGGGGGCATCGTATTATTAGAAGTATTTCCATAGCTGTAGTAATGATGATTAAATCTGCTTTTCAAGTTCATAATTTTTGAGGCAGGAGACTGAACCCTGGTAGGGGTGTAATACATTTGCCTACATTTTTTGTAGCGTTCCAACATCAATTATTCTTAGTGTCATTTTTTTCTGGTGTCACCGTCGTTACCTTAACGTTCCCTCCTGCCTACCGTAAAGCTGTCTGTGTGACGGTCTGAAGGAGACTGTCACTGGCTGCTTGACTTTATACTGCCTTTCTATAACAATAGTTATTTAATATGACTTAGCCCTTCCTTTTGTTTCACTTTAGAGGTGAGGTATGTTGGGAGGAAGATGACTGACGGGCTGCCTGCAAAATAAAGGTTGGATCATGTTTTTCTTAACTGCTGGCTCATAGGAGTTATCCTTTGACTGCTGCCTTTTGATTCTGTCACAAGGGTTTAAGATTGTAATATGACGGTGGAGATTATACCACAGCAATGTGACGTCTGGGAACACACAGCATACACCCCTGTGAAATGCCTCTATCTGGATTCTGTTAATGCTGGAATCCTTCAGTTTTTGGTTTAGCATTATTTTATATCATGACAGGGCTAAGCATTGTGTTGGTTGTTTACGTGATGTTAGTTGCGTATTGTGTGTAGATGTGTTTTGTGTGGGTTTTTTATATATTGCTATTTATTTCATATGGGATATGTGTGATTGTGTGTGTGTGTGTGTGTGTGTGTGTGTGTGTGTGTGTGTGTGTGTGTGTGTGTGTGTGTGTGTGTGTGTGTGTGTGTGTGTGTGTGTGTGTGTGTGTGTGTGTGTGTGTGTGTGTGTGTGTGTGTGTGTGTGTGTGTGTGTGTGTGTGTGACAGAGAGAGAGAGAGAAAGGGGTGACAAGAGGGATTATGGGAACGTGTTCAAAGTACAGACAGAAATAAACTATAGCATCCAACAGAGAGGTGTTTCATTATGAGAGGAGCACAATGTGAGCAAGTATAGCTAAACGAAGTGATTAGGCTGTTTCATGAAGCTAATTCAGATTGAATAAGGTCAGGTTGCTCACTCATGATTTAGAAACACAGACCTGAAACATAAAGCATCAAGTCCTTAAAGAAAACACACATTGTTATTCAAAGCAACAGATAAACACATTTTAAACATAATTTATTTTAACAAAATTAAAAGTAAGAAAAGTTCATTTGAATTATTTTCTAGTGCCTGGTTTGTACAAGTGACCTACATTCTTTATACAGTATGGTGGAAGTAAAATGTTTAAACTTTCACACTGGTTGTCTGTCTCTGGTACTTTTGGTAGCAGTGTGCCTGGGTATCTGTTTAACGAGAACATGGTGAAGAAGCTACTGTCATCAAGGCCACAGACCTGAGTCAAACATTTTACCTTTCATTTAGTTCAATGACTCAAATAGCTCAAAGCAAACAAAGGCTAGAGTCAAGGACTAAGAGCACATCGGTGAGCGTATTGATAATATCAGTATGCTATGAAAAGCCTACAATAACAATGTTAACCTGTATTCATGTCAATTTTTACCATCTAAGTTTAGCATGCTTTAATCTGCTTATAATGTCTTGACTGAAAGGTCAGCTGGGAATGCCATTCATTAGCAGATATCTGGCAATAAACAATAGTATTGACATGACGATGGTGCTGGAAAAACAGAATGTGACCTTCTTTATAACAGTATGAACATGAATGCCTATATTATATTTCATTGCACCCCCTCCAATAGTTGACTATTCACTTTGATCACTAATGTTAACATGTTGGTGACACTAGAGAAGACCACCATAGTTCGTTAGTATGAAACGTGAACTGACCACTTTGAATGTCCAAACCAAGTGTTGTGTCATTTAGCAGACTTTGAGCTTTTTTACTGAATAAGTGCAAATGTGGCCTGCCCGAGAAGTCAGAGGATAACAAGGTTATTAGGAAAACATTGGTACGAAATGTCATGGCAATCTAAGAAACACAATTGGAGAAACAACCTGGAGTTGAGCCTGATGGACTTGATGGTGATGTTGCTTTTTAAACCATCAGCTTGTTATTGAAGTGATACGCAAAATGCCAAGTTGAAGAGCTTTTTAATGGAAATGGTTGGAGAAGGATGGAACCTTCCAATGATCCTTATGTCAGCTCTAATCTATGGCTCTGACCTCCTTTTAGATTTGTAACGGATTTGTTCCCTTTCTACACCAAGTGCATGTTTTGTAGAAAAATAAAGTCCATTACTAAACGCTTTAGCATTGTGATCTTAGTCCTTTCAATGTGTCTTTGTTAATGCTTTGTCTTTCTTTTTTTAAATCTACTGTCACTTGAAAAGTATTAAACCAGTTGAATTACAAACTCATGTTCATTATGGTGTTTCTACTGATTTGATTTACAATAAATGTATGGAAGATGTTGAGATTCTACTCAGTTTTAGCACAAAAAGGCTGCTTTCATATGAAAAAGGCTCCGAAAAACCTACTGTACTTCTTCACCTGTTCAGCACTCACAACAGCAACGAGACCAGCTGGTGAACAAAGTGGAGTATTGATCAACTGA